GTTCCTCTCCCTAATGTTTTGGGTTAGATTCTCAAATATTATGATTTGTAAGTGATGTAATAATTTTTTTTCCACATCTGCTTAATATATTTGAATGTTTTAGAGTACTGGAAATATGATATATGTGCTGTATACAGAAGAGAATACTGCCATGTCTAGCAGTGAAAAAGGGATACTCTCAACCACAAGTTGAGAAAACTTACCAGTTCCTATATATCCAACTAGAGTTATATATTACCACAACTCCTGCCTCCTACACAATTGTTTTAAAATCTGTCAACTGTGGTCTTCAAGACAGAATTCCCAAAGTATGGAACACAATGTAATTTGTGTTACACTTCAGTATTTTATATAAGTAAGTTCTCATTTTGCAAGAAACACATACATCAAAAGGCATCTGTAGGCATCAGTGTGGAAACGTAAGCATAGTGGAAAATCATGGTAGAATTCCACCAGGAAGCCTATCAACACCCACCTATTAAACACAATCAAACATGCTCTGGCAAACCTGCAGACACCCTGGAAAATAATAGCCAGTAACAGCCCTGAACTCTCCCCATGCTGTCATGCTTGGAAGCCACGGGCTGTTCCTCAGCCCTGCATATGAGGGAAGGGGCTTCCAGAGGAGGGAAGATGAGGGAAGAGGATTCCACAGAAAGGACAGTTCCTATTTCCTTGTTTATTTTAGCAGATGTGACAGGTCTGATTAATAATTTGTGCCTTTTTCATGAAAAATGTTGTGAAAATTCTGATTTCTGCATCAGTTTGGGGCTGAAATGGTTGGGGTTATGTCCTGTAATATTTTATGATATACATGGGATTATATGATGTGAGAAATAAGTTGAATGTTCCAGTCCAAAAAAAAAAAAAAAAGCATCTCTCCTTGCTAACTGTAGTAAGGGCTTTAAATGGTACCATTAGAGAATATTGGGGCTGTTCAGCCTGGAGAAGAGAAGCTGCATGGAGACCTCAGAGCAGCCTTCCAGTATCTGAAGGGGACCTACCAGTATCCGAAGGATGCCAGAGAGGTACTCTGCATCAGGGACTGCAGTGACAGGACAAGGGGTGATGGGTTTAAACAGGGGAAGTTCAGATTAAATGTAAGGAAGAAGCTCTTCACTGTGAGGGGGAGTGAGTTACTGGAACAGACTGCCCAGAGAAGTGGTAAATGCTTCATTCCTGTCAGTGTTCAAGGCCAGGTTAGACAGAGCCTTGGGCAACATGGTCTGGTGTGAGGCTTCCCTGCCCATGGCAGGGGGTTGGAACTGAATGATCTGAAGGTTCTTTACAACCCAAAGCATTCTATGATTATGTGCTTTTACTAAGGACAGAAGAATTATCTTTCCTTTCCCACCTGTACTGCTTTAAGCCCAGCCAGTAACTTAGAACCATGGAGCCACTCGCTCACTCCTCCCTTCCCCCCACGTTGCTGCCGGAGGGATGGGGAGGAGAATCGAAAGAATGTAACTCCCCCGGGTTGAGATAAGAACAGTCCTGTAACTAAGGTATAACACAGACCACTACTGCTGCCACCAATAATAATAATAATAAGGGAAATAACAAGGGAAGGGAATATAAAATTAAAGGAGGAAAAGGAAAAGAAAATAAACACAAGTGATGCACAATAAAATTGCTCACCACCCGAACAATGATACCTGGCCTGGCCAGCAATCTAGGCCTTCCAGGTATATCCCCCCAATTTATATGACGGGCATGATGTGCTGTGGTATGGAATACCACTTTGGCTAGTTTGGGTCAGGTGTCGCAGCTTTGTTTCCTCCCGGTTTCCCATGCACCCCCTTACTGTCAGAGTCTGAGACTGAGAAAGTCCTCGATTGAAGTAAACATTACTTAGCAACAACTGAAAACATTGATGTGTTATCAGCACTGTTCTCAGACTAAAGTTGAAGAAACAGCACTCTACCAGCTATTAAGAAGGAGAAAAACTCTGCCTGAGGACTGGAGGAAAGCAAATGTCACTCCAGTCTTCAAAAAGGGCAAGAAGGAGGACCCGGGTAACTATAGACCGGTCAGCCTCACCTCCATCCCTGGGAAAGTGATGGAACACCTTGTCCTTGGTGCCATCTTAAGGCATATCAAGGATAAGAGGGTTATGAGGGGCAGTCAACATGGCTTCACCAGGGGGAAATCATGTTTGACCAATCTCTTAGCCTTTTATGAGGAAATAACACGGTGGATGGATGATGGCAGAGCGGTGGATGTGGTCTACCTTGACTTCAGCAAAGCATTTGACACAGTCTCCCACAGCATCCTCACAGCTAAATTGAGGAAGTGTGGACTGGATGATCAGGTAGTGAGGTGGACTGTGAACTGGCTGAAGGAGAGAAGCCAGAGAGTTGTAGTCTATGGGGCGGAGTCTAGTTGGAGGCCTGTAACTAGTGGAGTGCCTCAAGGGTCAGTACTGGGACCGGTATTATTTAATATATTCATCAGTGATTTAGATGAGGGAATTGAGTGTACTATCAGCAAGTTTGCTGATGACGCTAAGCTGGGAGGAGTGGCTGACACGCCAGAAGGCTGTGCTGCCATCCAGCGAGACCTGGACAGACTGGAGAGTTGGGCAGGGAATAACTTGATGAAATATAACAAGTGTAGAGTCCTGCATCTGGGCAGGAACAACCCCAGGTTCCAGTATAGGTTGGGGAACGACCTGCTAGAGAGCAGTGTAGGGGAGAGGGACCTGGGGGTCCTAGTGGACGACAGGATGACCATGAGCCAGCACTGTGCCCTTGTGGCCAAGAAGGCCAATGGCATCCTGGGGTGTATTAGAAGGGGGGTGGTTAGTAGGTCGAGAGAGGTCCTCCTTCCCCTCTACTCTGCTCTGGTGAGACCGCATCTGGAATACTGTGTCCAGTTCTGGGCCCCTCAGTTCAAGAAGGACAGGGAGCTGCTGGAGAGAGTCCAGCGCAGGGCAACGAAGATGATTAAGGGAGTGGAGCATCTCCCTTATGAGGAAAGACTGAGGGAACTGGGTCTCTATAGTTTGGAGGAGACTGAGGGGTGACCTTATCAGTGTATATAAATATATAAAGGGGGAGTGTCACGAGGATGGAGCCAGGCTCTACTCAGTGGCAAACAATGATAGGACAAGGGGTAATGGGTACAAACTGGAACACAAGAGGTTCCACTTAAACTTGAGAAGAAACTTCTTCTCAGTGAGGGTGACGGAACACTGGAACAGGCTGCCCAGGGAAGTTGTGGAGTCTCCTTCCCTGGAGACATTCAAAACCCGCCTGGACACATTCCTGTGTAACATTATCTAGGTGTTCCTGCTCCGGCAGGGGGATTGGACTAGATGATCTTTTGAGGTCCCTTCCAATCTCTAGCATACGGTGTTACTGTGTGCTACAGCTGGACCCAGGGCACCGCCTTAAATGATCATTCTTCTCCCACCACTTCTCCTGCTGTTCTTCAGGAAATATTTTCAGTGGTTACATGTGCAATCTGCCTGCATGCAGAAGACCATAAATCCTTATTTCCAGCTATTTCCCCAAGCTTCTGAACATCTCAGAGAGCATGGTATCAGTATTCCACAAACCTCAGTGGACCAGATATCGTGCACTGCAGAGAATGTTTGCTCTGGGTCATAACGAGAAGCAGGAGTGGGGAAGATTTTGCTTAGTGGCAGCTCCAGTACATAGTTGCAGGTGCACTACCCAGACAGTGTTTAAACAAGGCATTTCTGGCACAGCCGGGACTCCATCTTGGCTCAGCACACAGCAGCTTCCACATCCAAACCTTGTTACTAGATCAGCCTGGAATAGCCTTCTAAATCCATAGCCTTCAGGCATTATTCAAGAAAGGGGGCCAGCTGAAGGGAAGATAGCCTATAGCAGAGGAAAAACATACCCTCCCAAAACGTCCTATCAGTGAAAGGTATTAAGCCGCTTTCCTAGCTTGTGGTAATTTTTGGAGATGTAATAAAAATAGCCTGTGGGACCCATAGAGTACTTGCAGTTAAGTTGTCATCACCTGCTGATGTATGGTCTTTACTGCTGTAGTGAATTACATCATTCCCTTAAATTGGGCTCATACTTCAGCCCTGGAAAGGCACCAGAAGAATTTAGTGGGGCTGAGATTCGGATTGCACTGAACAAGTCCCTCTGGGCTCACTTGGAGGAGCACGGGAACTCCCTGCCACTCAGTCACTGAGCCTGGTATAAAAGGGAGAATGAAAAGCTCCGGGAGTTACGCTGAACAGCTGCAGCGACCTGATGGGGAGCACTGGGAAGCCCCCAGGAGAGAGCTGGGTCACCCTCTGTCCCTGTGCCACTGTTACACCACAGGCTGGCATTGGGGCTGTCACCATGAGAGATCCTCGTTTCCATTAAAAACACAACACATTGTGAAAAGGCTTCCCAGAGGAATGGCCAACTTTCTGAGCTCTCTGTGAGTGAGAAGGGAAAAGGAGGCAGGGGGAGTTAAGGAAAGCCAGAGACCAAGAAAATCAGGAAAAGGTTAAAAACAAAACTAAAGATTAGGAAAACAAAGTCATATGGTTATTTCATGGAGGAAGAGAAGGGATATATATGTTGAGGAAGGGATATATATGTTGATGGCAAGGGGAAAAAAAAAAAAGACAAAAGAACATGATGAAGTTTTTAACGTTCTCAGTACTTTACTTTTGCTTTACTTTTACTTTTCCTCTGTTGACATGAATCAAGCTGCCCTGTCTTAAGTAGATGAGGATGAAACACAGCCCTCAGGCTTCCTCCTGAAGGCTTACTGACTCCCCAGCTAGACTTCCCTCTGCTCTCTATAAGCATGTGTGCCCTCAGGATATTTTGATATTAAAATCACTATTGTGCATTATCTAAAGATTTTTACAAACATGAATATGGACTTTGCAGTGCAAGCTAACGAAAAGATTGTGTATGTCCCCCCTCTCTTTCTTTTTTTTAGCAACCAAGAGAAGCACAGAGCAAGATATTATTATCCAGGCAGATCTCTGCTAGAGGCCAGGAGTTTGCTTTCGTTACCTTCTTAATACCCCTCAAGAGATGCAGATTTAAACCTTCTAAGTGCTGAGATACAGTGGCATGAAGAAATGATACAGCATCATGCAGGCATCACAGTAATCTGAAAATAAGGGAAAACATGGTGACACTGAACATGAACTTTTAACTGGAAATACTTTTCTTGTACGCCATCAAATTACTTGCAGACCTCTGCTGCAGCAGCATGGGGGATAGGCACATTCAGTTCAGGGTACTGAGGAATTTTTCAACCAAATGTTTATTTCAAGACCCTTATTGCTCAGACCTCACCAAGGATGTGGGAAACACAGTTGTACAACCATCCTTCATTGGACCTTTAATTATTGCCATAGCTCAGAAAGTAGAGCTTGAAAAATGCAGCCACAAAAGCCAGTAAGTACTGAGTTATCCTGAGCTCACTAGGGGTTGCTGTCTTCCCCTGCTCCTTTCCCCCCCTCCCCAAACATTTTTAAGATGCTACGACTTTTCCAAACAATAGTTTTGGAAGTTTTAGGGAAAGTTTTCCTAAGGAGTTAAACCAGATCCCTCCTTCAGTATTAATTCTCCTTCCTGCAAGTTAATAATCATCAAGAAACAACCGTTGGCCAGGTGCAGGTACGGGCTGTTGATTACAGGGGCTGTGGCTTCACCCTGCTCAGCATTAGAGAGAAAACCTGTTTATGGCAAGATATGGTGGTTCTCCAGTTAAACTTTGCCCCAAACACACAGTTCAGCAATACCCAGCACAGCTCTACAGTAATGGCACAGAAATGCCATTAGTTACCAGCGCAACAAGCAGAATTTTGCCATCATTTTCACTAGGATGTAGCTGGCAACTGGAGAAAGTCCTACTTATTCCATACAACCATCCATTAAAAAATGTGGACATACTGACTGTAGCCACAGCTATTTCCTGGTCTAACTGGAAGGAAAAAGTGGTTTCTTAGGCACCTGTGTGTGTGGCAGGAACCACAGGCTGCCGCAGGATCAGCACACAGTGCTCTGGCTGATGTTTGTGTGTCCAAACAACAAACCAAAAGTACTTGCAAAGCTATGGGACACTACAGTTTCAGTACAAAGCTTCAGTACAAACCTAGAGCTACAGGGACACTACAGCTTCAGTACAAATCTTCCTCTGATGTCCATTACTAATGAACAACACCCAGGTTGGCCACCACAATGACGGCTGAAATTCTGCTTGCTGAGTCAGAGCAGATGTGTTGAGGGTGCACAGTGGATCGCCATGCTGTGTTTGGCTCTGTGCTGCCTCAACACCTCTCCCTCCATGCTTCACACACTCATTCCTTCATGGTGCACTGTGTTTTAACTTACATTCTTCTTACCATTCTGTGTGCAGATACATTCTGTAATTAATGCCCCAATCTAGGGTCCTTATTCAGTTCCCTGACCTGGAAAAGCATGTAAACATAAGCTTTAAGTGTTTCCCTGAATACAGAAGTAGTGAAAGGAATGACTAAGTAGGCCCCTTGTTTAGGACCTCACCCATTAGCTGTTCTTGTTTCTAATATTATTAATGACAATGCAGCCATACCAGGAAGCCATTAAAGGGGCCTTTAACACTGCAGCTTGAGAGTATTCAGCACATCCTCCACACGTGAGATGTTGCTAGGTTTGCAGCAGGTGGACTGACAGCTCTAACACAAACAACAGGATGATTCAGAAGAGCTTGATAAAAACAAGCCTGACAGCACTGGCACATATCTGTCATCATTGCAGAGATAAATTCAGTATCATTTCTGGTCCACATTAAGTGAGAACTGAGGCTGGTAGGAAACTACGCGGCTATCTGGAGAAGCAGGATGTCTAGGATTTGATCTCGTGGCCTGCAGAGCTCCCTTGGAATGCGTGAATACACAGGAAAACACTGCAAAACTGTTCCCTTTATTTTCAGGCAATTAGTAAGAGGAAAAATAGCTGTTGCATTTAGGTCCTGCTGCCGAATGCATCTGTCTGTGCATCATAACACTGTCCTCACACGTAAACAGCCATGAATAATTTATGATTCTCAGATTGCACACAGAAGCCTTAACCCAAATCACATTCCAGACAAGTGCCAGGACAAATTCTATTTTCTGAGAGGCTTTTCCTACTGTTCTCCTTTGTTCTTTCCAGTGATAGTTCAACTGAACTGACAAGGAGCACAAAATAGTCTTTTCCTTACATTACAATTTTTCCTGTCCTAAGATTTTAGCATTTTGTAGTTTCCTTTTCTCTGTTCAAAAGCATACAGTTAGTTTGCTCAAAGCTGTCAAAAGCCAATCTTTTCTCTTAGAAGACTTATCTTTCTTACAAGATTGAAGTCTGAATTAAAAAAACCCAGAGAGAAATTAAAACTAATATTTGCTGTACTTAAATACAAGCCGGATGTGGAATCATACATCTCCAAATGAAACATTTACAAAGTTGGCAACAATGGAATCTTCTCTTCACACATGCAAACGTCAAGTCTGAATGTACTCTTCTCTCTACCTGCCCTCACTCTCCATTGCCCTGCACACCTAAGTGGTGGTGAAGAACAATCCCCTGGATTCTGCAGACCTTCTCCTCCTGTCAGCACATGGCTTCACTTCATCTCCAAAATATTTAAAGACTATGACAAGAAATCCTGGATGCCTAAAATGAGAAATCAACCTGCATAAGTGGAACCTAGCAGGTGACTAAGCTGTAAATACCACTGAAAGCAACAGTATCAGAGGTACAGAAAATCTTCCAAACTCGGGCCCTCCTGTCTGTGAATATGACACTAAGGCTCATATACGATGAATGGTGACCCCCATGGCAAGGGGTTGGAACTAGATGATCATAAGGTCCTTTCCAACCCAAACTATTCTATGATTCTATGAATACCATTATACAAGGAAGGACTCTGGAGTCACAGATAAACAGCAAGGACATTTGCCCCACAATATGGCTGGAGTCCCTCTCCAGCCAATATGACTGGGGCAACACCAGCCTTCACTGGCATCTTTTCACCTGGGTTGCCTGGTTTCACACCCTTCACCTCCCCCACTGCGCCAAAGTCTCAGCAGCAACTGGCTTGGTATTATTTGAGTATTGGTCAACAAACACAGAACATTGTTGTAACCAAAGACAGTTTAGTATTGCCCTTGTCAAACTGCTTGAAACCAGCATCTCTTTTCAAAGAGATCCAGTGAAACCTACTCTATTAGCCATGGCAAAGTCCTTACGAAACTGGGATGTTGAAAAGCTTTTGAGGGTGTCAAGGCACTGGAACAGGCTGCCCAGAGAAGTGGTGAATGCTCCATCTCTGGCAGTGTTCAAGACCAGGTTGGACAGAGCCTTGGGCAAAATGGTCGAGTGTGAGGCCATGGCAGGGGGTTGGAACTGGATGATCTTATGGTCCTTTCTAACCCAAACCATTCTGTGATTCTATGATTATTTTTTTTTTCTCAACCCTGGATTCTTTTACACTGTAATATTACTAGCAGCATGATAATCCCTGCAAATGAGGGGGTGGAGTCTGCCTAATCCTTTCCAAGGTTGGAGATTACACATTTTAGGAACTCAGGATGTTCCTACTTTTGTCCTGAAATGAAGTTTCGACTTGTAGTCCTCTCAGCTCTTGCCTGGGAAAGTGTGGTAGGAGCAGGGCTCCTCTGTAAACTGCTTGCAGGTCTGAGATACAGCAAGGAAGGGAGAAGTTGCCTCATGCTCCATGCTTGGGAACATATTGCTGGCCACAATTTGGCCTACAGGTCTTCATAGATTTATCTTAGAATATACCAGACAACAAAATGGGAGGGAATTCCACCCCCAGTTACTGAATGACTGCCAAGTGCTGCTCCCACTTGCAGCCAGAATGGACCACAGCTGAACTACAAAAGGAGAAGGGCGAACTTGATGGGATGGTTCTTGCCAATTTACAACATGCTGTATCTGAAAATACCCATGTGTCATGATTACCTTCTGTTGCAGATAAGGTGCATCACCACAAACACTGTATGTCAGACCTCCCCTGCTCATTCCAAGGCCAAAACCAAGGGAGTTTTACTGCTTCCAAGACAGTGATTTCAGGCCCTTTGTTCAGGGGAAAATCTAGGACCCCTGTTCTACAGCAAATGGCTCCTTCCCTGCCTCTGTTTTAGAGAAGAATGTGCACAGTAATTAGTAAGATGAAATGAAACCCCATCAACAACAAGCCAAGCATGAGGATGGAAGGCTACAGTGTACAGTATCAAAACCATCATGTCTAGCACACTGCCACAGAAAGCTCATGAAAACACAGGGCAGGAGCTCACACAAAATTGAAACAGTACAACTCTACTGCAAGATGTTAATTTTATCCTCTTTCACTAGGCTGATCAGACAGAAGGGAGCCCAACTTCCCCTTCTGTGGCAGTTCTTCCTTCAGAGAACTTTTCTGGTATGGTTCCATAGACTGAACATTCTACATTTTCTTTGAACAAATTGTATTACGCTTCTTTCTCATCAGAGTACATAAATGAGCTGAGAGGGAATGGATTCAATTACAATCCAGATTCCAGACCTCTTAAGAACTGACTGCCTGACATATTCCTTTCATTTAAAACAGGAACCAAATGAGGATTATATCACATAAATAATACTCCCTTGATAGGGCAATTCAATAAAATGGCAAAAATACTCAGACAAAACATGTAGATAAAATATGAGAGCCTCTGATATTACCTACCAGATTTAAAGTACGAACATCACATAAGCTTACATGTCCAGTTTTTTTACTTCGCATTGTGAACAAGAATCTGATTCAGAGAATCCTTAAGAGCAAATTTAGTACCTTCTGACTGCCCCAGAAAAAAAGGAAGAACAGCTGAGGAAAAGAGTGTACTGCAGCAAAGTACAGGTTTCCATATTTGAAAGAAGATTTGATAGCTCTGCACAAGACACTAACCTGCCCTGCAAAACCCTAATTTACAATCTCCCAAGTGACTAAGAGTAACTATGACCAAGAGTAAGGGCTTCACAAAGCTCTGAGTGAGGCTGTTTCCCAAGCCAACTTGGCCATTAAGAAGGCAGCATTTCGGAACGACTCAAACTGATAAGATGACTTTTAGGAACAATCACTTTTGACACAACTACTCAGCCAGGCTTTCAGGCTGAGAACTAGATATGCCATCTATAATCTGATATTTTTATACCTGCCTAAATGTCTAAGTATCCAGGGAAGAAAGATGTGATGAAAAGGCTTAGATTCAGAGCTTGACAAGGGATCTGAAGATGAAGGCACAAAATGAGTACATACAGTCAAATCATCCTCATTCACAAAAAGCACACATTTTGGGGAAGCTGGGTAGAAAACAAAAAGGCAGAAGAACAACACTACCAAGATGAGGGATGACTATTAAATGTACAATTACCTGTAAGAAAATTCTTTTCAGATTACTGAGGAGTGGCTGAAGACACTTTTGATGACAGCCTACATAATTACAACTTGTTGAATTCTAAAGCTGTATTTAACCTGGCACACAGCTACAAATACAGAAGCCAGCAGGTGAAGTTCAAATTGAACTTCAACCCAGAAACTGGATCTTCTTATCTACTCAATGAAAAAGGTTTTCAGGGGACATGGTAAGTTCTCTGCCAATGAGACTCTTGAAATCAGTACAGTACGAGCCAAGTCTTGGGCTTCTTTGTGCCTGTCCAACAAATAACATTCTGTCCAATAACATTTTCAACGTTAACCATGACAGACATGGTGGAAATGAAATGTGCTGCTCTGAAGATACCTACCTGATGCAAAATGGGGTGCTCAACAACCCCAGTGTACCATGGAATACATAAATGTGGCTAGACGTTTTCTGTGAGGTGATGGGGCTTTTACAAAAAGCCAGTTTGTACATGTAATGCAGCAAGAACCACATCATTTAATCATAAACTAAACATTTTTTTCTTTAGCCAGTGTCCAATGTCCTAAGACTTCAGCATATCTAGGTATTGTTATATAAATAAATATGTCTATATCTATATATATAATTGTAACAGAACCTCCTTAACTAGAATGCATACATTCTTACCTATGTATATGAATAGAACAAAAGTAGCCCTCCTGGCACTGTGCACACTTCATATACACTTTATGTTCAGCTGTAAGGTTCAAATGCAGTTTTGCATGGGTTATGTTCTAGCTATAAAACCCCATATATAAGTATATACCCCCCCTCCTTTTTTTTAACAAAGAGGTTAACCAAATTATCACCTGCAGCTATATTATACCACTAAAAGGAATGAATACACTAAGCTGTCTATGAAGCTTGCAGTGTACCCTAGTTTTGACACAAGGGAAGGAAAAAGAGGTTGAAGCATACATCAAATGAAACTTTTTCAACTCAGAATAACCAGGAGGAAGCACACCTACTGGATACAGCAGAGACGTTTCCTATTAGATATGACAACAATAATTGAAAAAGGCTTATATATGAGTCACTAATAAAATCCTAATATGTAGAAAGGCCATCATATGCAAAGCAGGCACAATGTTGTGTTCACTCCTGTTCTTAATTTGGTCATAAACAGATACTGTCTGATCCATCCTGGCAATTTAAAAGCAGAAAATCAGGTGTGTTACTTCCCACCTCAGGCAGTGCTGAGAGGCTTCAGTATCTCTGCCTCATTGCTGACATCCGCTGTCCTGTGAATGAATCATGCAAAACCTTCACCAGCCCACTTGTCCCTTCCAAAAACCATTTCTGCTTTCTCCCTCTAGAACACATGCCAGAATTTGACTCAACAGTATTTGCAGTGATTTACATTGCTGAAAACCACTCTTAGAAGATGGACAAAAGGCATTAACTCCCTTGTACTGGACAACTTTCCACTAGGAGATAGTGACTGCACATGACACTGCTGCTAGTTATTGACACTTCTGCCCTTCTAAGATGTGTACCATCTCCTTCCCCCTGCTGAGTAGCACCTGCCTGCAGTAGCACACACTGCTTTAGTGCCAAGCACGATAGCAGGCCTCACTCAGACTGCAAGCTTTGCTGCACCAAGCCTCTTCAATTTGGCCTTCACCAAAAGAAGTGCACACACATCTCTCAGACTCAGGCACAGGATGAGTTTTAAGGAAAACAAATTATTCAGGAAGAAGCTCATCAATGATGTTTCCTGTTAGTCACAGGTAACACACAGTCTTACATGCCACCGGAAGACTTTTGCAGGTGGCCCACTTTCAAAGCAAAACATCCTCCACAGACTCTGTGGAGAGGAGTCAAAGCTGGAAATGTTCCAGCAATTGCTGCCTGCAGCAATGTGGCTGATGGCACTCAGGAGGCATGCTAGCACTGATCAGAGCATGTCCCAGAATCATAGAATTGTTTGGGTTGGAAAGGACACCGGACCATGCTGCCTAAGGCCCTGTTCAGCCTGACATTGAACGCTGGCAGGGATGGAGCATTTGCTACTTCTCTGAGCAACCTGTTCCAGTTCCTCACCACCCTCATCGTAAAGAACTTCTTCCTTATACTTAACCTGAACTTCCCCTGTTTCAAACTCATTATCCCTGATGAAGAGTCTCTCTCTGGCATCCATATTGCTACTTACAGACTCCTCAGGGTAATGAGAGATGTGGAGAGAGGCAATGGTTGTAATGTCCTTGTTAAGTTTTATGCTCTGAACCAAATAAATATGGCAGAGACCCTTCTTAAAGCTATCCTCTACAACTAATTCTGATCTGTTATGTTTGCCTTTCAGTGAAAACCACGTCCATAAGCTATCTCCCTACATAAAAAAAAAAAAGTATGTCTTTCTTGGTAGATCTCCTACATGCAAATAAATGAAAACAAAGTCAAGATAAATACTTCAGGTCAGTTTTTCAAGGGAAAGGTCTTTTCTTCCCACTGAAGCAGACTTTCAAGTCATCTGTTGTCAGTCTGTGCACAGAGTCAATGTGTGCAGACACCTCCTGGCAATACAAAAGAGTATTTCCATCACAAAGGAAGATTTGTGAATTTTTTTGTGTGTGTGTCCTTGTGAAATCAGAAAGGACACCTCTGTGAAAACATGAAGGTGGCCACAAATGAAGAACAGAAACATAGATATGTGTGCTGATTTCTCTATAGAAACATATTTAGAGATTATATAAACATTTTCAACTTTACCTGGACCAGGCTTCTGTTAGGAGTTAAGACACCTAAATTATGGCATATTAAGGCATATTCTTAACACAAGCTTGGCAGCATTGCAGTAAAAACATATACAAATGCAGTGTGAACGCAATATGCCCTTGTGTATTCCCCATGTCTCCTGCTGCCACTTGGGAAAGGTCTTCCTGCAGGTCCCAGGCCATCTCTGCCAGCCCCACACACAATCCTGAAGCAGTCTAATGCTGTTGGACACCTAGTTTAAGCAAGGGTGACTCTGTCTGGCTATTCTACAATGCTATTGTCCATGCAGTAATCACTAGACCCAAAAAAGAAGAGTGAAAATGCAATTAGATTTGGGATGCACCTCTACAGCCAAACTAAAACTTATTCAACTTAATATTCACAGCAGATTTTGAGCTGTTTGGAAAGATGACAACTGGAAAACGGTTACCATACACCTCTCTGCTCTGTGCTAGGACTAGAGAACCAAGCAGAAACAAGCAGACTGCACTAGCCCTCTCTCTTGCCAAACAACCACTGTATTGTTTTGTTCCT